TTACTTTTAATTCTCACAGATATGTTCGTTACTAAAATGTCCACCCCCCCCCCCCCCCCCCCCCCCCCCCCCCCCGACAATGAATATTACAAAATATTGCTAACAATTATAATTAACTAACAATTGTAATAATGATTTGAAGAAAATACTTTTTAAAACGATAAGGGTTTAGGCGTTCAAATATTTCATTTAGACTTAATCCATGCTCACTAATCACAATTGTTTGCAGGTGCTCTTCTGAAAAGTCTGATCTGTAGCTAGATAAAACTGCTCTGTAGCGAGATAAGACTTCTCTGTAGCTAGATAAAACTGATCTGTAGATAGATAAGACTGCTCTGTAGCTAGATAAGGCTGATCTGTAGCTAAATAAAACTTATCTGTAGCTAGATAAGGCTGATTTGTAGCTAGAAAAGATTGATCTGTAGCTAGATAAGACTGCTCTGTAGCTAGATAAGGCTGATTTGTAGCTAGATAAGACTGCTCTGTAGCTAGATAAAACTGCTCTGTAGCGAGATAAGACTTCTCTGTAGCTTGATAAGGCTGATTTGTAGCTGGATAAGACTGATCTGTAACTAGATAAAACGGATCTGTAGATAGATAAGACTGATCTGTAGCTACATAAAACTGCTCTGTAGCTAGATAAGGCTGATTTGTAGCTAAATAAAACTGCCCTGTAGCTAAATAAGACTGCTCTGTAGCTAGATAAAACTGATCTGTAGCTAGATAAGACTTATCTGTAGCTAGATAAGACTTATCTGTAGCTAGATAAGACTTATCTGTAGCTAGATAAGACTGCTCTGTAGCTAGATAAAACTGATCTGTAGCTAGATAAGACTGATCTGTATCTAGATAAGACTTATCTGTAGCTAGATAAGACTTATCTGTAGCTAGATAAGACTTATCTGTAGCTAGATAAGACTGCTCTGTAGCTAGATAAAACTGATCTGTAGCTAGATAAGACTTATCTGTAGCTAGATAAGACTGATATGTAGCTAGATAAGACTGATCTGTGGCTAGATAAGACTGATCTGTAGCTAGATAAGACTGATCTGTAGCTAGATAAAACTGGTCTGTGGCTAGATAAGACTGATCTGTGGCTAGATAAGACTGATCTGTGGCTAGATAAGACTGATCTGTAGCTAGATAAGACTGATCTGTGGCTAGATAAGACTGATATGTAGCTAGATAAAACTGATCTGTGGCTAGATAAGACTTATATGTAGCTAGATAAGACTGATCTGTAGCTAGATAAGACTGATCTGTGGCTAGATAAGACTGATCTGTAGCTAGATAAAACTGATCTGTGGCTAGATAAGACTTATCTGTAGCTAGATAAGACTGATCTGTGGCTATATAAGACTGATCTGTGGCTAGATAAGACTGATCTGTAGCTAGATAAGACTGATCTGTAGCTAGATAAGACTGATCTGTGGCTAGATAGGACTGATCTGTAACTAGATATTGTGGAGAGTTCGGACCACGACGGCGTCGGACGTAATCCGTCTGACCGAAGGATCAAGCTTGTGGAGAGTCGCCACCCAAGCTTGTGGAGAGTCGGACCACGCACGAGCGCCGGACCACGACGGCGCCTGACGTAATTCGTCTGACCGAAGGATCAAGCTTGTGGAGCACGACAGACCCTAGGATCAAACGCCTGACCAATTACGGCCTCTGACACCCAGACACGACCATCCATCTGACCAGGGCATTTACCTGGGATGTCTAGACCGACAATTGAGAAAAAGGGGGCGGGGTATAATCTGGACTGGGAGAGGAACTATGGGACGGGGAGGTATAAATAAGGAACTCTGGACGGGACGAGGGAGAGCGCGACCGGATGGTTAGCAGAGAAGGCGGCCGGACTGTGAACTAGATAGCAGGGAGAAGTCAGAGTTGGGAGATGAGTGAAAGTGTAAGCAAGTGACAGACCAAATAAAGAACACGAGTTTAATCAGCAAATGTATCACTGGAGTTGTTTCCTTATTGAGTACCAGATCTAGATGAAGTTGTCAGATAGTAAGCAAGGTTTCCTTACAATATTACATATTTAGTTGTTCAAAATGCCATATCGCACAGGTAGGTAGTTCTAAAACTAAAATTTACCAGTACATGATTTTACATTCATATTTTTTCGTGAAACTGTTATATAAGTCGATCAGTTTTCATTTTTTGTACCTAAAGTCGATCAGTTTTCATTTTTTGTACCTATCAATTTTGCAACATATTTTGGATTGCAGATCGATCATTTCAGTTGGATGCTCAGATTGAAGCTCAGATTGAAACTCAGATTGAAGCTTAGGTTGAAACTCATATTGACGTTCAGCTTGAAGCTGAGCTGGAAACTCAGATTGAAGCTTAGGTTGAAACTCAGATTGAAGCTTAGGTTGAAACTCAGATTGAATCTCAACAAAAACACAATAAAATCAGTTTTTAAATATATATTTTTTCAACTGGCATTGATATCGTGAAAAAAAGAACCTCAAAATGCAATCTCAAGCTAGAAAGCACAACTTGCTCAAAAGTCACGTGGGAATGGACCTATTGCTTCTTACGCAAACAGCAAGAAAGTGAGTGAAGCATATCCAACTCTTTATAAGATTGACTTAAAATTTAAATTCCACATTTTCCCCCATTTTATTTATAAATACATGCATAATAATTTTTCATTGCAGAAATGCAAGAAGCAGACTCTGCCTTGTTCAATTGAGTGAATTATGACATAAAAACGGGGTTTCTCACACATGCTCATTCATGTTGATCCTGAATTTGTAAATAAAGAATGGTATTGATTAATTAAATTAATGAACCCCTGGCTGCGTCCGGCCCACGGATTGAGGATCGCTAATCTTAGCCATTCGGTCGAAAAGCGAGAAAGTCTACGACGTTGCAGTTTAAACAAAAAAAGGGTGTCACAAAGATCACCAAAAATATTTTTATACCGGAACTTAAGAGTTTTAACATTTGGACTACTTTGAAACCTGTGAATAGCTAACCCTGAAATAGCGTCTATGGCTAATGCGCTAACTCAAACCCAGCGCTGATTTACGTCATGAACAGGGTCTGACGCAGACAGCGGTTACGGTTGCACCTTTTGTAACAGATGTCCGAATATGATTGACGTTGAGAAGATCAATTTCCCTCTGGAAATATTCAGAATCAAAGACGGTTTTACTTGCACGTGTCGCAACATCATTTACACCATCCTTTTTAAATAGTGTGGAAAATCATAAGCAGGAGAGAAAGGTCATCGCCTCGGAGAGCGTTTTAGAGAAAACCAGAATAACTTCAATTAAACAAGCCCAGTTGATCCGAAATCGCGTTACAGCGGTTTAAGTTATATTGGGGTTCAAATGTGTTTCTTAATGTTTTTGATAAGTTCTAGTTAGTGCTGCACTGTCAGGTAGACAATACCATCTTGAGAACAAATGTTTTTGATAAATAAAAGAATAAATGATGTGATACAAAAAATAAAGTATGTTTGGTATATTTGGTATGACGTGGCAATATACTTACAATTGTATTTGCAAGTGCTACCTAATAAGTGATAACAAACAAGCGCTCAAAAACCAATGCTGACTAACAAATGCTGACTAACAAATGCTGACTAACAAATGCTGACTAACAAATGCTGATTAACAAATGCTGACAAACAAATGCTGACTAACAAATGCTGTCTAACAAATGCTGACTAACAAATGCTGACTACCAAATGCTGACTAACAAATGCTGACTAACAAATGCTGACTAACAAATGCTGACTAAAAAATGCAGCCTAAAAAATGCAACCTAACAAATGCAACCTAACAAGTGCAAACATTTATTACAATTTTAATAGGATTTTTTCTTCTTTGAAAAATGGGTCTGGGTGAGAATTGCAAGGGGCCTCAAGGTCAAGGTTAAAATAGCTTAGAGGCTCTCGTAAGATAAATCCGGCCCTGGCCATACAGTTTCGAGTAAAAAAATTTACAACTTTAAAGAATTGCCACCGTTCCAATACAAAATAATCAAAATAACAAATTAGGGCGAGGACAATACACAGAGATATTGCTTCAGTGCTAGGCCGCTGCAGACAAAAGGTAGCATTTTCGGAATATGCCCAACGAAAGTCTTGATATGCTTTTAGTAAAGCCCAGGCAAATCTTTTAATATGTCTGACAATTTCCACCCCCTTTAAGTACCCCCATCTGAGCCCATCACTAAATGTCGTCAATGGTTAACATTAACACACAACCTCTTGGAGAGGTCCTGTTGCGCAATTGTTTTAAGCACACACTTTGCAGACAAACCATTTTACTATACTAGACTAACGCTGAAATTCAACGTAAAAATAAAATACTAAAGCCCTTACAAATGTGCCAGAATTTTCAGTCACATTCCGCCTTGCAACCTTGCTTTCTTTTTTTTTTCCAGGTTCCCATTTTTATCCGTCCGTATGTTCCCCCCCCCCCCCCCTCAAAAAAAAAATCCCCCTTCCCCCACCCCACTCCACCAGGGTTTCCCTAAATTACAAATGGTTGAGTTCGCTACAGTGAGCACTTCGCTAAACCATTCTTCCGCACACATTCCTAAACCTCTTCTTAATCTACCCATGTGTTTGTCGGAAACCTGATAGCACCTGGCCAAGATAAGCTCACCACGGCATCGTCTGGTCTGCCCCGGAAGCCCCCTGCAAGCTCCTGGCTGGGAGCAGACGTTCCGTTTGCTGGCCCAACAGCGCGGGGCTGTGTAAACTGTGAAAGGGTGAGTGTGGCGCCCGTTTAAGGCAGCTCCTCACCTGCGCGGTTCTGATATTAGAAACTTTGAGGATACTATAAATTTCATGGTTATTAAACACATGTGCAAAAATTATCTGTCACACTTTTAATTTATATTTTCTGGAGTGTTTTTTTTTAAAATAACAATTGTTCCAGAGAATATTTTATTTCTTTCAAATAAATAAAACGTATTTTTTATGAATCTACCTTTTTACTCCGAGCCAAAAAAAATCGCAACGGTTGAAAAGACCCTAAAGCCCGTTCAAAGCCAGGTCTTCATCAGCGGTGATCTTTCTAACCACGGAGCCCCCAGTTTTGACAGGCTCTTCACGTCTGCGTTGATGGAGCATGTTCCGTTTGTTGAAAATTGAATCTGGCTGTTAATGGCACGCATTTTCTGGCTGGCCCTGTCAATAATCAGATTTTGATGAACTTCACGGCGAGACTGCTCCAGCCACAGGTATGTGCTAATGTGTCTTTGCTTAACTGCTCGTTACTTAGTGGATTATCCGAAAGAAAACGCTCACGCATACCAATAATAATAAAAACTGAAAAAAAGGGGGGGGGGGGAACGCGCCACCCCGTCAAACCGTAATGTATCGTCTGCGAGCAAGTACGTCACCAATTAGCCCCAGCTGTTAGTTCATTAACTTCACTTCTGTACGCGGCTGCAAGTCCGTAAACAAAGCATGGAACAAGGCTGCGAATGTAAATATGAGAAGTGGCTCCGTGCTTCTTTTGTTTAGACGAGTTTAAAGGGTGTTTCTGTGTAGCCTGGGTGTTGCGGAGTTGAGGGTGTCCTGTGATGTTGCCATTTTATTTTTTTTAGGTGGCTGAATTGTAGAGTACTTCATTGTATGTGTACCAAATGGCACAAAGGCTGCTTGACTTGTTTTGATGAAAGTTGCAAGAACTGTTTGCGACTGCTCCAACAATGTTGCCAACGTTGCTTTTCGGTGGCTCGGTTGCAAGAACTGTTTAAGGATATAAGAAAGGTTGCTAGTGTTGTGTTGCAAGAACTGTTTAAGGATATAACAAAGGTTGCTAGTGTTGTGTTGCAAGAACTGTTAAAGGGTGTAACAAAAGATTGCTAGTGTTGTGTTGTAAGAACTGTTTAAGGATGTAACAAAAGATTGCTAGTGTTGTGTTGTAAGAACTGTTTAAGGATGTAACAAAAGGTAGCTAGTGTTGTGTTGTAAGAACTGTTTAAGGATGTAACAAAAGGTAGCTAGTGTTGTGTTGTAAGAACTGTTTAAGGATGCAAAAAAAGGTTGCTAGTGTTGTGTTGTAAGAACTGTTTAAGGATGTAACAAAAGATTGCTAGTGTTGTGTTGTAAGAACTGTTTAAGGATGTAACAAAAGATTGCTAGTGTTGTGTTGTAAGAACTGTTTAAGGATGTAACAAAAGGTAGCTAGTGTTGTGTTGTAAGAACTGTTTAAGGATGCAACAAAAGGTTGCTAGTGTTGTGTTGTAAGAACTGTTTAAGGATGCAACAAAAGGTTGCTAGTGTTGTGTTGTAAGAACTGTTTGATTGTGAATCCACCAAAGTCTGTTAGAGTTGTATGTCGGTACAAGTTATAAGTGCATATTCTCATGCTCACCCCTCGTGCGTAGAGGCCTATATTATAGAAACTTCTTAGTACTATAGGCTTATCAATGTAATACATTGCGAGAATTCTTTTTTCTTTGTTTACCTCAAGCCAATGGTTCTCAACCTTTCCAATGCCACGACCCTTTAATACAGTTCCACGTGTTGTGGCGACCCCGACCATAGAATTACTTTCGTTGCTACTTCATAAATATGTTTTCCTATGGTCTTAGGCGACCGCTGTGTATGGGTCGTTTGACCTTCAAAGGGATCCCGCCCACAGGTTGAGAACCACTGCCTCAAGAAGCGAACAATAAGTTGTAGATGCTAAGAGTTTTATTTTATCATATTGTAAGAACTGTGTGCTTAACTTAGACTGGTGTTTATCAATCTCACAACACAAGCGCCATGTCCATAATGGGTGTCATCTTTACAGATCGTCACGTTACAAAAACTTTGAAATAAATCCAGAGTCGTAGCGAGACTATTTGGCGCTCGAGGACATCTGTCCCCCTGCCCCCCTTTCACTACACCTCTGAATCAAGCATATATTTGTCCCAAGTCCTTTTTAGGGCATTACAATTTCGATAATTAATAATATAATTGACACGTGAAGCTGCTCAAAAACTAGATACCTCGAGTCCTGGAGCGTATTTTAATGAATGCAGAATAAACCAACATACCCCAACATATCCGCACATATCCGCAGATGCGTAACATACCCTAAAATGTCCCAACATACCCAAACATATCCCCACATGCCCAATATACCATAAAATATCCCTACATACCGATACCCCAACATACCTTAACATGCCCCAACTGATGTAAAGTTTCAATGATATATAAATAAGAATGAGCTAGAGGCACATAACGCCAAAAGGGAGATATGATTTAAGTGCATTCGGATTCCGAAAAACAATCATAGCTATTTTCTATTATTTTAAGGAAAGCGAATAAATTTAAGTGCGCAAAAAATATTCTAAATCCGCTTTTATTTTAGTAAAAATTTAAATATTATTATTATAAATTACAAATACATTTAAATTATCAACAAAGGAACTATTTTAGCCTTTTATATGTGTTTGAAAGTTATGAAAAAATAAAAATAATAAAACAAACATGATCAAAGAATTACACCGAAATCACATTTATCGGGAAAATCCAAGCATCAGTCGTTTTCAGTGCGTCTTTTAGTGCTTTGATAATATTGCGAATTAAAATAAAAATTATTTTGTTCTAAATAATCATGCAAATGCCGTCATAGCGCGTATAGCCTATTTCGCAAAAACTCTTAGGTTTCTTTATATTTAATAACAGTGCGTGACAAACTGATAATGTAGTATATTCCCTTCTTAAAAGTAAAATTATATGAATACAATTGATTGCATTTTAAATGGTTTATAAGACACACACACATTTTTGCTTTGTATATTTTGACATTTAAAAAGTTTTGCCTGTTTTGATTCCAAAAATATACTTTTATTAAATTTATAACGTAATAAAAATTACATTTGACTATAATTCTAATAAGAAAATGTGGTTTAAGACAATCAGTACAGCGCAACTCCATAGCTAAATAGCATTCACTAATCCACTTATACCTCATAAAAATAAAAACGAACCATATGAAGTGCTAAAGATGTTAGTTTGGGTATGGAAGGGATAAATTTGGGGTATGGAAGGAATAATTATAATAAATAATTAACCTTCTTGGGTACATACATATCGGAGGTAGGAAATAGGATGTGTACATTTTTACGTAGATTAAAATATGTTTAAATCTTATGGTATTACATTTGTGAAAAAAAAAGATTGTGCATTCTCTTTTTACAAATATTGGCGTGTTCATTTTGCCCAAGGCAATACAAGATAGTCCCAAAATAAAGGAATTAATTTGATTAATAATTAACCTTCTTGGATACATACATATTGGAAATAGGAAAAAGGATGTGTATATTTTTACGTGGATGACAATATATTTAAATCCTATGGTATTACATTTGTGAAAAAAGAGATGTTAAATTCTCTTTTTACAAATAGTCTAAACATATGTTTACCAATTAAGATAATCAATGGCCTTAACAAACCTTGGGTACATTTATATAAGTATACCCATGAATATCAAAACCCAATAATTTTACACACTTGAAAAATAAATTTTGACAAATGAAGATGGGTAAATATTTCCTGGGTTTTTTGTTGTTTTTTTTTTAATGAAAATATTTTTTGTTGTTGTTATGTTGCAAAAAGTAAAGAGTTGTGTATTCTTATGAGATTAACAATTTATTTTTTTAAAGAGACAGTCAAATCTGATATAGGCGTGAAAAACAGTTGCGAGATTCGTCTTAGATAAAGAATTCTTTGTTTTACGATTTTCTGATAATGTATAATTTTAAAAAAATGCAAAAATATGTGTAAATTTTTTTATGAAGATATCAATATATATAATATATATCGAATTCCTGTAATACAAATATATATATATCATATATACGGTAATAATAATAATAATAATAATAATTACTTTTGTTTTAAATTTAAGATTAGGTTTTTAAAAAATTTTGAGAGAAAAAAGTTGTAATTCAAGGGCACGAAAAGGGGTAAATCAAAGTATTTCTCTAGCGTAGTAATTGTCACTCAATTAATTTCTTTAGAGACAAACATGATATAATTAGTGATAATTTAGACTGGGTAATATAAGGCCATGTTTATAGGGGGAAAAGTAGTTTAGGAGGGTGAAAAGGTTTAGGATGCGCGCATCATATAGGGCAGATAAACACTTCACAAAACTTAATGATGTTAGAAACTTAAATATCATTAGATTTTAAAAGTTAGGAATTGGGACGAATTCTTGCAATAGCAGTTAAAAATTATCGCAAAGGACCTATCATTATTATCCCGATAACATCGGATCATTTATTCTAGTACTATTTAAGATTAACATATTATTTAAAGGATGGCACCATCTTTAAAGGAAGCCACCATCTTTAAAGGATGCCACCATCTTTAAAGGAAGCCGCCATCTTTAAAGGATGCCACCATCTTTAAAGGAAGCCGCCATCTTTAAAGGATGCCACCATCTTTAAAGGATGCCGCCATCTTTAAAGGATGCCACCATCTTTAAAGGAAGCCAACATCTTACCCTGTTTATTTATTACACTGAACACGCGAGTGTTTTGGGTCAAGTAAAGTTATTATTTGAGATACCCTGGTTATTTACTGATGGTTTTTTAAAAGTGTGTGGGGGCGGGGGTAGTCTCTGCATTGTTTTTATTTTCTTCTAAGTTTAAACTAGGTTTCTTTATCAACTCCCAGAACCATGTCTCCTTCTCCTCTTTCATCCTTCCAGACCCACTTTTCTTTCTATCTCATCCTCCCAGTACCACCTTGCCTCTCGTCCTTCTATCATCATTTCGCAATTCTCCCCTAAGTCTCCAAGCACCACTACTATGTATTCCCTCACCCTCCCCCTTTTCCCAGCACCAATGCTATTTCTCTTCTCCTCCCCTCTGAGCTCAATTTCTAATTCTACTCTCTCATCCTCCAAGTACCACTTCCCCACACTGAAATATGTATCCCGTATCCGATCACAGATAAAGAGCTAAAAGTTCCAGGGTATGTTGCACGTTGTATCTCGTATATCTTGACATCTCAGCATAAGCGTGTTCGTGTCTCGGTTGCATGCAGGTTAACACATTCGTCTTCCAAGTCGGGATATGTTGTGTTTTATGCATGGTGTGCTCTTTGTGGGGGGCGTGTTGTACTCTATGTGGGGGGGGGGTGATGTACTCTATGTGGGGTTTTGTTGTGCTCAATAGTGGGGCGTGTTGTGCTCAATAATGGGGCGTATTGTGCTCTTTGTGGGCTGTGTTGTGTTCCAACTGGAGTATGTATTTTATGCATGGTGTGCTCTTTGTGGGGGGCGTGTTGTACTCTATGTGGGGGGGGGTGATGTACTCTATGTGGGGTTTTGTTGTGCTCAATAGTGGGGCGTGTTGTGCTCAATAATGGGGCGTATTGTGCTCTTTGTGGGCTGTGTTGTGTTCCAACTGGAGTATGTACGATACACAGTGCGTTCTAAATGTGGCGGGCTCTATTTTATTACGTTGAGCTCACAGGGGCGTGTTCTCTTTTGGGTGTGCTCAACAAGGGGTGTGTTCTATATCTACATCATATAAAGGGATGTGATCTACGTCTTACAGAACAAAACAAACGCAAATGAATGACTTTCGTCATGTCATTTAGACATCTCTGCAGCATACCATACAATGCACTGCAGCATACCATACAATGCACTGCAGCATACCATACAATGCACTGCAGCATACCATACAATGCACTGCAGCATACCATACAATGCACTGCAGCATACCATACAATGCACGCAGTATTTTCAGACATAACGTAATATATCACTACAACGTTCTGAAAATCTAACACAAATCTCTAATAACAAATCAAAGCCTGGCTGCCTTCATTGACTTTAGATAAATGCTAATTAAAGTTTGTTGAAATAGAAATTTTTGTTTAGAAACAATGACAATAAAACTATGCTTAACAGAAACGAATCTGTTTAACATTGTTAACACGTAGAAGTTATTACCTCCCCACACAATTCTTTTGGCGGCGATAAATACCTTCGCACCGCCCCACTCCCTCTCACAGCACTGCACGCACGCACAAAAAGGCATGTGTTTTTTCTTAAGAGGAACTCTCAATAAGAAAACCTAGCCCAGGATTTAGCTAAGCTAATGATGAAACCCGACTTCGGAGTAAGTGGCTCTCAGTGGGGGGCGCCGGCAGCTTAGGGCGTCTTAAGTGTGATAGAGCAATCACGGGAGACGCCCTCTCGTCATTCCAGAGCATAAAATGGAATTATGGCGGTTGCAGCTGGTATGTGTAAGATGGGTGTAAATAAGTATGTGCGTGTGAGTATGTCAATTGTCTATCCCATAACTTGTCTATCTCATTAGGCCAGTGTTTCCAAACTTTTTTTTTTTTGGGGCCATGCCCCAACTAAGCCTTTCTAAAATTCTTATGCCCCCCCCCCCCACCATTTATCATATATATAATTTTTAATTTTCAAAAATAGGATTATTCACTGAATGGAGAACTGAAATTCATACGAAATAATTTTCATGAAAGATTTTTCTATATTATTTTAATTATTAATAATTGTTTATTACTTAAATTTAGCGAGATGTTTGTGCTTGATGCTTGCTGCAAAGAGATTTTATGTTAGCTTCCACTTTAGTAAGCCTCAGTCTCAAGTCTCCTTGTTGTGTTATGTCCAGCAGATTTCTTTTTTGTATGTGTGTGTGTATTTTAAATATCAGACAAATCCACTGAAATTATCTGCATCATACACGTTGGAAAATCAATTTGTTTCAAATAAAAAAATATTATTTTCTTTTAAATCACCCGATAGAATTTTTAGATGATCGACGATAACAAGTATATAGCGCAGTGGTTCTTAACCTGGATTCGATTGAACCCCAAGGGTTCGGTGAGTCAGTCTCAGAGGTTCGGCGGAGGTCCAAAAAAAAAAAAGAAAAAAAATCATTTCTTATTTTTCTTATTAAGAAGGGTTCGGTTAAATGCGCATGTGAAACTGGTGGGGTACCTCCAACAAGGTTAAGAACCACTTATATGGCGTTATCAGTCACTTAGTCACTACACATTTTTGGAGCCAATGAAACTTTTCAAAATATTTGTTCTAAAATTTTTCTGACATAATTTAATAAAGGTAATGAAACCAAATATCGTCCTTTTGCATCGAGAAGAGTTTTATTTGTTCCCTCAAGTTGGTTATATAATATATTTAGTTTTTTTTAAAGATATCAGCTAAATAACTCACAAATGCTTTACCATCGACCGTGAACAGATACTTCATATCAGGTTGGTCACTTTAAAAAATCACAAGAGTATCAATCTTTTCAAGCTATTCCCCCTCGGCAGCCATCTCATTTCAGTGTGAGGGAAATGTCTCCCATAGTCTGCGTTTTGTTCTTCACAAAATAGCTTGAAGAGACGTTCACATTTGGCATTAGCTTTATTAGCATTGCTACACTTTGTAACTGAATTCAGTCATTCTTTAGAACAGGGGAAATGTTTTTAGCTACCAAGTTTTCCCTATGAATAAAACAATGCACAAGTGGTATGTCTGGATTCTCATCTGTCATCAATTTTAAGCAGGCATTTTTCTTGCCCATCATATTAGGAGCCCCATCTGCAGCACAAGATGTTATATTTTTCATTGGTATATTATTGAAATCTAATTAATTTTTAGCTTATTATATATATCTTTGGCGGTAGTGGTGCTTTCTAATGATTTATAGAACAAATCAGCAAATATCCTTTATTTAATATATCTTACGTAACTTATCATCCCATCATACAGCCTCACTGTCTCTCAAAGTTGATTCATCCGTTTGCAGTGAAAATTTTATTGTTATCAGCTTTTCAACAAGTTGTATTTCAATATCTTCACTCATTTCATTTCTTCTTCAGTATTGCTACTGAGTGGCATAGCTTTCACGTCTTTGTCATCTTTTTCCAGAACCGTTATAAGAAATGCTGATATTTATGGCTTGATTAAATTCTCTCCTATATTATTATTTTTCCCAAGATTTAGCAACGAGTAGGGAAATGTCATAACTCGCCTCAAGAGTACGATAGACAGTTGCAGTATGAGAAGTAAATAGAGAATTTAATGTTGTTGTTTTTTCTTTCAAAATACGGTACCCGCTAAATCATAGTAGACGGTTGGTTTTCAAATTCTAGACAGCTCATTTTCAAATTGCCCCCCTAAACAATCAAATTGTCGTCCCTCCCCACCCCCCCACCCTGTTGGGCGTGGGCCCCTCGTTGGGAAACACCGCATTAGGCAATCCCTCAAAAGTTGTTGAATGAGGCTGAGTAGCTCAAGTTTACGTTTAACAGTTCATTTTTTTGTGTCTCGGGCTGTAATAAAAGAATGAGTACAGTAACTAAGTTTTTCTTTCAATGGGGCTATTTTTACCACTTTGTTGAATACCTCAGTCCAGGTGTGTTTTTTTTTCACCAGGGCGTGCCGGGGTGGGGGGTGGGGAGTGATCAAGGTTGCGGGGAGAGCCCGGAATTTTATTTTTATTTATTGTATTAGAACAATTGTTTAATTTGTAAGGAGGGGGAAGTGTTTTGAAATTGAAATAGAAACCAGAACAGAGAGTAGGAGAGAGAAAGAGAGAGAGAGAGAGAGAGAGAGAGAGAGAGAGATAGACAGAGAGAGAGAGAGAGTGTGAGAGAGAGAGAGAGATAGACAGAGAGAGAGAGAGAGAGAGAATAGCAGTGTGAGCGAGAGAGAGAGAGAGAGAGTTGAAGAGAGAGTGAGTATGAGAGAGAGAGAGATATAGAGTGAGGGAGAGAGAGAGAGAGGGGGAAGTGTTTTGAAAAAGAAAGAGAAAACAGAAGAGAGAGTAGGAGAGAGAAAGAGAGAGAGAGAGAGAGAGAGAGAGAGAGAGATAGACAGAGAGAGAGAGAGAGTGTGAGAGAGAGAGAGAGATAGACAGAGAGAGAGAGAGAGAGAGAATAGCAGTGTGAGCGAGAGTGAGAGAGAGAGAGTTGAAGAGAAAGTGAGTATGAGAGAAAGAGAGATATAGAGTGACGGAGTGAGATAGAGTGAAAGAATGAGAGAGAGAGAGAGAGAGAGAGTGCATAAAAAGTAAGAGAGATTAAGAAAGTAAGAGAGAGGGAATGAGAGAGTGAAAGAAGGAGATGATAGAGAGTGACAGAGAGAGTGAGAGAGTAAGAGGGATTGAGAGAGAATGCGTGAGAGGAAGAAAGAGAATGAGAGAGTGGGAGATTTAGAGGGAGAGAGAATAAGAAAGAGAGAGTGAGAGTGAAAGAGAAAGAGAGAGAATGAGGGAGATAGACAGAGAGTGAGAGTAGGAGAGAGTGAGAGAGAGAGTAAGAGCTTGAAATGGAGAGAGAGAAAGAAAGAGATAGAATGACAGAATGTGAGTCAGAGAGAGTGAGAGAGATTAAGGAAGAGTGAGTAAAAAAGAGATAGTTAGAGAGTGAGAGTGAAAGAGGGAGGATGAAAGATAGTGAGAGAGTACCTGAGAGAGTGAGAGTGAAAGAGAGGAAGTGACATAGTAAGAGAGTCAGAGAGTGAGAGAGTGTGAGATTTAGGGAGAGAGAGAAAGAGTTAGAAAGACAGAGAGTGAGATAGTACGAGTGAGAGATTAATAATGAGAGAGAGTGAGATAGTACGAGTGAGAGATTAATAATGAGAGAGAGTGAGATAGTACGAGTGAGAGATTAATAATGAGAGAGAGTGAGATAGTACGAGTGAGAGATTAATAATGAGAGAGAGTGAGATAGTACGAGTGAGAGATTAATAATGAGAGAGAGTGAGATAGTACGAGTGAGAGATTAATAATGAGAGAGAGTGAGATAGTACGAGTGAGAGATTAATAATGAGAGAGAGTGAGATAGTACGAGTGAGAGATTAATAATGAGAGAGAGTGAGATAGTACGAGTGAGAGATTAATAATGAGAGAGAGTGAGATAGTACGAGTGAGAGATTAATAATGAGAGAGAGTGAGAGAGAGAAACTGAAAAAGAGAGAGTGAGAGAGAGGGAGAGAATGAGTGAAAGAGAGGGAGTGAGAGTTATGGAGTAAGATAGTGAGAGTTAGAGAGTGAGATATTTAGAGAGAGGAAGGGTAAGAGAGAGTGAGAGAGAGTACCTGAGAAAGTGAGAGAAAAAGAGAGAGTGCGATAGAGTACCTAAGAAATTGAGAGAGACAGTAAGAGAGAGAGAGAGAGAAAGAGAGAGTGAAAGAGAAAGTGACATAGTGAGAGAGATTTATAGAGAGAGGATGGGAGAGAGTGAGAGAGAGAGTAAAGAGAGAGTGAGAGAATAGTGAAAGAGAGGGAATGGGAGTTAGGGAGTGAGAGCTAGAGAGTGATATTTAGAGAGTTAGAAAGTGATAAAAAGAATGAGATTGAAAAAGAGAGAGACAGAGTACCTAAGAGTGTGACAGAGAGGAAGAAACACAGTGAGAGAATCAGAGAGTGAGAAAGTCAGAGAGTGAGAGATTGAGTGAGAGAGAATTAGAGAGAGAGTGGAGAGAGTACCTGAGAAAGCGAGAGAGAAAGAGAGGGTGAGAGAGAGAGTGACAGTGAGAGAGTGAGAGAGTGAGTGAGCGATTAAGAGAGAGAGAGAGAGAGAGAGAGTGAGAGATTAAGAGTGAGAGAGTGACAGTGAGAGAATGAGAGAGTGAGTGAGAGGGAGAGAGTTAGTGAGTGAGAGAGTGAGAGAGAGTGAAAGTGAAAGAGGGAGAATGATAGAGAAAGAGAGTAACTGAGAGAGTGAGGGAGACAGATGTGAGAGAGTACCAGTGAGAGGGAGGGAGAGAGAGTACATGAGAGAGTGAGAGAGAGGAAGTGACATAGTGAGAGAGCGTGTGAGAGAGTAAGTGAGAGAGTGAGATTGAGGAAAAGTGAGAGAGAGAGTGCGAGAGACGAAGTGAATAGTGAGAGAGTCTGTGAGAGAGAGATTGAGGGAGAGTTAGAGAGAGAAAGAGTGAGAGATTAAGAGTTTGAGAGTGTGAGATATAGGGCTTGAAAGATAACAGAGAGTGGGTAAAAGTGAGAGAGCGAGTAAGATAGTGAAATCGAGAGTGAGAGAGAGAGTGAAAGAGAGTGAGAGAGAGTGAGTTAAAGGGATAGACAGTGAAGGTGAGAGAGAGAGAGAGTAAGCGATAGAGAGAGTGAGAGCGGAAGTGAGATAGTGAGAGAGAGAGAGTGAGGGAGAGAAAGAGAGAGAGAGAAGTGGAAAGAGATGGACAAAAAAATAGCTCAGAAGAGAAAGAAAGGCGTTGAATATAAATGATCTATGCACCACTGGGGATCCATGTAGAGAAAACACTTACGTCACCCTAGATAGCCCCTTAAGTCACTCTCTATAATGTATGATCTATGATGTCAAAAATAGTTTTGTATCTTGTGCAAGATAAACCAAAATACATTTACCAGTTATCCACATCGGTGCCTGACTGAGGGCTCTTTTTATTGAGATTGCTGGACGTTTTCATTGGAGTTGGTCGTTAAAGATAAGATCATAAAGGGAATTCGTTGACGATAATTAACACTGGAGGGGTGGACTCGGGAATGCATCTTTTTTTGTGTGTGTAAAGAATGCTTTAACCTTTAAGTTTTCTAATGTTCACTGTAAGTTCTTAGCGCCTCTGTACTGCCCCGCATGTGGCAAGTGTTCATTCTCTTGTACAGAAAATGTGTTCTTAGAGATAGGAACTATAAAACAATGCAGCTAAATCCTGTATGCTAGAAAAGACTGACTCCACTTGGCTCAATGTACGTTCAAGGCATTTGCTGATTGTGCTTTTTTGGTACGATAGATTTACTAATAGACGATTTTTTCACCAGTGTCGTAGGGTGGGGGCGGTAGGGTGGGGGCGGTAGGGTGGAATAGGCCGCACACACCGATATCTCCAAACACAAGTATATCACACACTGANGGGTGGGGGCGGTTGGATGGGGGCGGTAGGGTGGGGGCGGTAGGGTGGGGGCGGTTGGATGGGGGCGGAAATTGTTCTGTAAAAAGGGACACCCCATCTCTCTGTCAACCCAAGATGCCAACTGCATGTGGTTGTTTTTTTGAGGATGGTGGTAGCAAAACTCATGCCCGGGATGGATGTAGCCTTAGCTACGCCACTGGGGTATGGATGTAGCCTTAGCTACGCCACTGGGGTATGGATGTAGCCTTAGCTACGCCACTGGGGTAGGGATGTAGCCTTAGCTACGCCACTGGGGTATGGATGTAGCCTTAGCTACGCCACTGGGGTAGACCATACCAAACGACACTGAATCATATGACTGAGTGAAGGAAATACCTAATAAATGAATTCCTAATTAATGAATACATTGAATGCCTAACAAATGAATGCCTAATTAATGAATTCCTAATGAATAGATGCCTGATAAATGAAAGCCTAGTGAATGAATGCCTGTGTAATTTACTTTAACAATGTTTCCAGATTTTTAAAATTAGCTCTCCGAAAAAATCCATGGGGGAAAACGGGTGGACGTACCAGGTTCTCCTATCAACTTCATCCCCCATACCTATAGGTGCCCCACCCCCTTGATCATATCTATAAATAGATTAGACCCTGACACGACCCGTACACAAGGTGTACACCAGAAGAAACACAGCCGAACGCGTCGGCGTACTCACGGATTCGCGTGCACCTACAACACATCAAAGACTGGCCCCGTGTTGCACGAGCTGAGAACGAGTGCTGCGAGTTGTCCCACGGGAGCCAGGGGGAGACAAAGCAAGTGTTTGCTCACAGGAAATACTGGTCCGTTACGTTGCCATGGATCACGCTGAGGTGAAACAACTACACGACCAGGGGTGAAGACTCACACCAAATTCAGGTTAACGTGTGACATTCTGTGGTACATGATACATGACTCTCCCTGCTTCCAGTTGCTGTGCAATAACAATGTATTCCTGTTGTATTCCAGATTACACGCTAAATCATCAGGGCGATTAATTTTAATTTTTTTAAAACATCAATTCAACAGCGAAGGGAAAGCGTCAATTCAAGGTCTTAGAATTTCGAAGTAAAATCAAATTACTGTCGTAAATTTTCATGGCAAAATGTTATACGAAATAGTGTTTAGCGCAGAATTGAAACCTAAAAAAAAAATATTTAATTTTTTTTGTTTTAAAGTTGTCATTGCACGCTTTTATTTAGCTTGCGATTTTGACTGTTTGACTGGGTCAAATCTTGTAACTCAATGTCCGAGCTGTTTCCTTCATCCGATGGACTTGAATTCAATGTTTTTTAATACCGGTGATGGCACAACCCTAAATGATCATCGGGTCACCAGGGATCTCCAATGACCCTACGGTGGACTCTGCCGGTCAAATCTTGCATCTCTATGTTGACCCACTTCCTGATCACCAATTGAAATGAAACTATGTACACTTATCCAACGACAATTTAACTAGACCATCGTTTCTCAACCATTTGCGGTCGAACGTCCCTTACACAGGGGTCGCCTAAGACCATCGGAAAACACATATTAATGAAGCATCAGCCAAAATAATTTTATGGTTGGGGTCGTTAAAAACATGGGAAACTGCATTAAAGGGTTGTGGCATTAGGAAGGTTGAGAACTACTGAACCAGACGATATGTGACGATAAATAAATGATAATAAAGACTGAAACGCACAAAATAAAACATTATAAAAATTCTTTTATATCAAAAAATGCTTTTTCGAAACATGTCCTAAAAAGTTGCCGGGCCGCTAATCGCAAAGCCATGCACGCAGCGGTACCGCAATTTTTTTAAAATTCCATTAACTGGCAGCAATGCAAACGTATACATGTGTGCCACATTGTATTCATCAAGTCATATGACATCATTGTAGTTCATGGGAGTCCCAAGCTTTTTGTTGTTTATGTTTGTTTTGTTTTGTTGTTTTGTTGTTGTTGGTGTTTTTTTTTTTTGGGGGGGGGGGCCTTTTTTTTATACCATTCAGTACATTTTTTTGAAAAAAAAGCGTGTTTTTTTTAAAAGTAATTTTTTTTGTTTTTTTGTTTAATTTTAAAAATTTTTTTTTTTTTTTTTTTTTTTGTTTTTTTGTTTTTTTTTTGTTGGTGTTTTTTTTTTTTGGGGGGGGGGGCATTTATTTTATACCATTCAGTACATTTTTTTGAAAAAAAAGCGTGTTTTTTTAAAAAGTAATTTTTGTTGTTATTTTGTTTAATTTCAAAACAGGGGTTATAAGTCGATGGCGCGAAATCCCTCTTTGGGGATAATATAAGTCAGCTCTTGTAAGGAGTTACAGTTAAGCTTAACTGAATGGGGAGGGCGTACCCTTCAGTGTAAACATTTGGGTTCGTGAGCAAAAACAACGGCCCAATATTCACGGCGGAGATTGACTCTGGACAAACATGTCATTTCCAAATTCTTCTCATTCTGCCCCTATTATTTTCACTATATATGTCTTAACAGTCATTCTCCACATTCTTCTCATTCTGCCCCTATTATTTTCACTATATATGTCTTAACAGTCATTCCCCAAATTCATTTGTTTCCTTGGCGTTTCTCTTAAGGCTTTGTCTTAATTTTTTCAATGTTGTCTACATCAGTAACGATTTATTTTTTTATCATCTCGTTCAGGAGCTGACAGTGACCCAGAGATAATCTCCAAAGATGGTGCCCAGAAAAACTGGCCAGGCACTCGTACTGCTGTCTCTCGTGACGGGGCTGTGCCTGCTCTTGACCAACTGGACCGACCCACGCCTGGTCTACCAGCAGATCAGGCTCAACCCATTCGGCCAGGCGGCCCACCTGACTGACGCAGCTTTTCAGTTCTCTCCGAAACGGGGCTTCTTACTGGACACGCCCCACTGCAAGATTCCGGACATTGACCCTTTCGACCCCGTGGTCATGCAAAACATCCGTCGTCACGGAGAGATCCCTTGCACAACGAAACTGTCGCTGACGTACACCCACGGGTCGGTGCTCAAGTTAAACAGAACCAAGATCGAACAAGACCTCGGGGGCGACTTCAAGTACTGTCAGTACCAGCCGGTCAGGAGGCCGAAAAAATACGACTTCGAGTTCGCCTACGACGATTTCAGCCCCAAATTCGACCACGACATCCTGATACCCCCGGAGCACGAGTTTCTGAGGGTCTACTGTTTCAGCCAAAGCGAGGGCAAGCTGTCCACAAACTTTCACGCGACGGTCGCCCCGAAAGACGGCGTCGAGCAGCGGTGCAACTACAGGTTCGAGCAGCACAAGAAGAAGCACCACCCCAAGGAAACGTACAACGTCCACATGGTGGGCGTGGACTCAGTGTCCAGATTGAACTTTATTCGGCAGATGCCCCAGACGAGGGAGTTTCTGCAAAGGGAGCTGAAGGCGTTCGAGATGGCCGGGTACAATAAGGTGGCGGACAACACATTCGTCAACATTGTACCTATGATGATGGGTAAATTCGTGCACGAGATCGGCTGGAACGAGACGATGCTCCGGCATCCCTTCGACGAATACCCGTTCTTCTGGAAGAATTTTTCCAACGCAGGGTATCGGACTCTGTACGCCGAGGACGCGCCGAAGATCGCCATTTTTGTTTACGATAAAGAAGGGTTCCACGAGCCGCCGGCCGATTACTACAACAGGCCGCTGTCCCTGGCGATGGAGAGGGAGAGGAGTGCGTGGACCAAGAACCACCACTGCATCGTGGATCGTCTGGAGACCACCATGCTGCTGAACTACGTCACGGACTTCTCCCGCGTCTTCCGGAAGAAGCCCCATTTCGGGTTTACGTTCATCACGAGGCTCACCCACGACAGCCTCAACTTGGCCGGGTCCGCAGACTACGCTTACGTCAATTTTCTGAAACAGTTCAAGGAGGAGGGCCATTTCAACAACACAGTCCTTATTTTTTATAGCGACCACGGCTACCGTTTCGGCGACATGCGCACGTCGTATGTCGGCAAAGTGGAAGAACGCTTACCGTTTATGTATTTGGTCTTCCCGCGGAGTTTTCACGACAAGTATCCGGAGCTGGTTGAAAACCTACGAACGAACGAGCTAAGACTCACGACGCCGTTCGACGTATACGAAACCTTAAAGGATATCTTGTATTTCGACGGCGCCAACCGGAAGGCCGATGTCGGCGACCGTGGGATCAGCTGGCTCCGGGAAATCCCGAAAGAAAGAACCTGCGGCCACGCCGGGATTTTACCCCACTGGTGTCTGTGCCTGGAGCAGAAGAGAATCGACGTCGCCAGCAAACTGGCCTTCAAGATCGGCAGGGCGGTGGTGCGCCAAATCAACGACATGCTTCGTCCGATGTCTCACGTCTGCGCCTATCTGAAACTCGGCGTCATCAACGACGTGGTCCAGATGGAGTCAAACGAGCGGGTCCTTCGCTTCACCGACAGCTTCCACGATGTCATCAACCAAACGGTGGTCTACGGTGACAGATCTGAGGCACCCATTGTTTACCAGGTCATCTTGACGACCGTCCCGGGGGACGCCATGTTTGAGGCGACCTTGACTTACGATTATGCTTTCGACGCGTTCAGACTTGGCGGCGACGTCAGCCGCATTAATGCGTATCAGGACCAATCGGAGTGTGTGGAAAATTTCATGTTAAAAAAAATGTGTTATTGTGTGAAATGAAATGAATGAATTATTGTGCACGATTGATAAATAGTAAATGTCAGTGGTGCAAAGGGGTTAATGTTGGGTCCTTGCAGGTGGACATTGGATTAAGTTTGGTAGTATCAACAAGATTATCACGACTTTCCAAATCGCAAACATTGGCGGTGCACACCACCACATGGGGTCTCAAACCACCAGCATATATGATTTTAAAACCCATTTGAAAAACTGTTTGAGAAATGCTGAAATAATAACACAGTGCAGCAAAATACTTACTGACTCCATACCAAAGTGGTGACAAAGGGCTTTGACCTCGTTTTGTCTTGTTTGAGCTGTTTCTTGTTGGCCAAGTGCAGTCAAATTCACAGGAAAAAAACAAAGGGCGGTAACTGCTTTGAGAAGGGTTAACCGGAAATTTTAGCCACACTCATTGCTCTGTGTGAAAGCCAAAATGTTTGAGAGAGAACAAAAAAAATCCCAGGGGATTATATTATAATGTTTTTGGTGAAGGCTTTAGCATTTAAAGAATTACTTTGAAAAATTAATTGTGGAGTAGATATTTTGAGGACTTGGTCTAACTAGACGGGATTGTCAAAGTAACTCTGAAAATAATCACCCACTATTGATTAACAATTGTTTATCGTCAAAACTTAATGTATTGACAAATATCCATTTGCCCTACTTATGTGTACTACACCTTCATGCTAAGTTGCAGTCTTTGTTGAAATGCCGGAAGCACTGTTATATTTCTGTCTGGCTTGTCTTGTCAGATGTGTCGACAGCGATGACATGACTTAAATATTCCTGGTCTGGAGTTCAAACCCAATGATTGCCAGACAAGAAATCAACACAAGAGCAAGCACTTCAGAGTAGATGGGACCCCTCAACCTCAGATGGTGGTTCAACTTAATGAAGGAAATCGGTACAACAATCTTCCACCGCCTTGCAACACTGATTAGAACTTGAACTCATTGATGTACAGACAACTCCCGCGACAAGGTGCAAAACTGTATTGAAACTAACTGGAGAGATTTTTAGCGTTATTAAACCTTAGCCATTTTGAGATAGATGGATGCAAAAGAATAATATTAAATCACTGCTCCATCCACTTGGCAATGAAAATGATATTCAAAACATTGTTTTATGTTTTAGGAATGTGTTGTGAATCAACGACAAACGCACGACTTTACTCCCACGTTGCTGCGCCTTATGGTAACAACTCTTCATCTGATTCTACTCCTTAGGCAAACCATGGTAGGGACGGCAAAGCTGCTTAATCCGTTGCAACTACATCTAATGCTGTTCAGTTATTTCATGTGCTGTTCAGCAGTACCGCCATGACTCCATTGATTGATGTTCTGTTTTAAAAGTTGTGAGCAAAACTTTTCTATAAAAAATCATTTTAAATAGAAAAAGTTCACATATTGCAAAGAATATTCTTGTATTAAAAAAAAAAAAACAACAACTGATTTTTGTGATTTTTAAAAAAAACAAACTACAATAAATAAACCAAAGACTACGTAGCTATGTATCTGAATTGTAACATGTTGTGTTCTTCTGTTACAATAGTTTGAGGAAGGCCGCTCAGGTGCATTCAACCATGGTAATGGCCCATTCAACTACGTAACAAATGTGATTATTGGAATTATAATATACCCAATGTAAACATGAGTTGTTGTTTTTTTTTTTACATTTTATAGAGTCGTGATGTACAAGTGAAAACGTACATTGATGTACAAGTCAGAACGTACCTTGATGTACAAGTGAAAACGTACCTTTATGTACAAGTAAAAACGTAACTTTATGTACAAGTAAAAACGTACCTTGTTGTACAAGTCAAAACATACCTTGATGTACACATGAAAACGTACCTTGATGTACAAAGGAAAACGTACCTTGATGTACAAAGGAAAACGTACCTTGGTGTACAAAGGGAAATGTCTCTTGATGTACAAGGTAAAAAGTACCTTGGTGTACAAAGGGAAATGTCTCTTGATGTACAAGGTAAAAAGTACCTTGATGTACAAGTGAAAACGTACCTAGATGTACAAAGGACAACTTACCTTGATGTACAAAGGAAAACGTACCATGATGTACAAAGGAAAACGTACCATGATGTACAAAGGAAAACGTACCATGATGTACAAAGGAAAACGTACATTGATGTACAAGTGAAAACGTACATTGATGTACAAGTGAAAACGTACCTTGATGTACAAAGGAAAACGTACCATGATGTACAAGTGAAAACGTACCTTGATGTACAAAGGAAAACGTACCATGATGTACAAAGGAAAACGTACCATGATGTACAAAGGAAAACGTACCATGATGTACAAAGGAAAAGGTACCATGATGTACAAAGGAAAACGTACCTTGATGTACAAGTGAAAACGTAACATGATGTACAAAGGAAAACGTACCATGATGTACAAGTGAAAACGTAACATGATGTACAAAGGAAAACGTACCATGATGTACAAAGGAAAACGTACCATGATGTACAAGTGAAAACGTACCTTGATGTACAAAGGAAAACGTACCATGATGTACAAGTGAAAACGTAACATGATGTACAAAGGAAAACGTACCATGATGTACAAAGGAAAACGTACCATGATGTACAAAGGAAAAGGTACCATGATGTACAAAGGAAAACGTACCTTGATGTACAAGTGAAAACGTAACATGATGTACAAAGGAAAACGTACCATGATGTACAAGTGAAAACGTAACATGATGTACAAAGGAAAACGTACCATGATGTACAAAGGAAAACGTACCATGATGTACAAGTGAAAACGTACCATGATGTACAAAGGAAAACTTACCTTGATGTACAAAGGAAAACTTACCTTGATGTACAAAGGAAAACGTACCTTGATGTACAAAGGAAAACGTAACATGATGTACAAAGGAAAACGTACCATGATGTACAAAGGAAAACGTACCATGATGTACAAGTGAAAACGTAACATGATGTACAAAGGAAAACGTACCATGATGTACAAAGGAAAACGTACCATGATGTACAATTGAAAACGTACCTTGATGTACAAGTGAAAACGTACCTTGATGTACAAGTCAAAAAGTACCATGTGGGGACAACTGAAAGCAAACCATGATAAATAGTTTCAGCGTTTAAATGTGTTTAAATAAAGCAGATTATATTAAATTTGTTGTTGCTTATGTTATTCTCAAACTGGAGAGTGGGACCATGCGCGGGTCTCAAACAAAATTAAGAAGATTACAAAACATTTATCGTTGACTCGCGAAGGAACCAATAATATTATAACTTATAACTAGATTATAAGCAAATCGATTGTTCAGAAATATAAGTCTGTTATTTCAATATAATAAGATTTAAAAAAATATGCGTTAAGAAAACAAACACTATCATGGTCGTAGAGAATGAAAGAGATTTCCTGCACTAACATGATAGCGAGAGTTAGAAGGGAAAACAAATTAATTCAGCCTTTTGGCACAATATCACCTTATGGAAGCAATCAAACACTCTTCTACTAGTGATCCTCAACTGCCCCGTATTTCTTTTCGTATTTTTTTTTACATTTTACATATCTCCAAAATATTTTTGCACATTTTAAAATCGTATTTTTTCACAGTAATGATTCGTACATTCTTTAACTTTGTTACGCACCGTTGTCCGTAGGGAGAAATTAATCTTCTATTTACATATCTGTCTCGTTCCAAAACAGTGTATAACAAAAGACGATACCAAATGATAAAAAAAAATAACAGAGAATATGATAATCGAAACAGGGCTAATTACAAATTACAAAACGTTTTATTAAGTTAGTAAAATGGCATAAAAGTAAAAAAAGAAATATAATTAAAAACTATTAACTTACAGTATATTGTGTGGCTGGTACCAGGACAATGTCGAAATAAAACACAATGTGCAAAAAGGTACAAATAATAAATGGAAGTCTACTGTAAAAAAAAAGCACTCACACGTTCCAAATTAACTCTCTCACGCTGTCTGCGTCTCTGCTCGCTGCAGTATGCTGTGTCATTCAACCACTCGCCGTATTTATAGTCTATTCCATAGAAAATTCCAGACGTATTACGCATTATATTAGTGACTCAAACGTTCTACAATTTTCTATCGAATTCGAATCAAGAAAACATACGATAGATTGGTTTGTGGTAAAGAAGATGAAAGGGAGTAAGCCACGTCTAATACTAAAGCAGGTGAATTTGAGTCAGCTTAAGGTCGTTCACTAGGAAAGGATTAAATGGGAGTAAAAATATAGCACCCCTATATCTAACAAACTTCCTGTAATCTTGGTTTTGGAAAATCCAACTTCCGGCATTAAAATTAATGTCAAGCTCCAAAATGCTTACCTTTTTTGAACTATTTTCTATTTCTTGGGGTTTTGTTCATTTGTTCCGTCTTCTGAATCAGGCTCTTAGCCGAAATGTTCTCTTTCTATTATCCTGTCTTTATAGTTCAAGCTTCCCCATGCCTTGCCTCACTCTTTCCTTCACACAGCTTCAACGCAGTCCTTCATTTATTATCCTTTAAAGTTGAGTGCATATTAGTAAATCCTTGACATTCACTCCGCTTTTGTTAGTGGGTGGCTCGCTTGCTCGCTGGCGGTTAAAATCTTCGGACGGCTAATTGACCCACTTGCCATTAACCTATCGAGTTGAAACTTGGCACATAGACTCGTTGCCGATGACAACAGATTCTTTCACACCTCAGCCCCACCTCACAACACCAACCCCAAAAAAATTACTTTTTCAAGGGGAGCATAAAAGTAAATTCCCGATAACTGCGCTGAATGAGTTTCTTTTCTTTTCTTTACTTTTCTTTTTTTTTTTAAATATCACAAGTGCGTTTGGTGCCTAATATTATATTTTGTTTTTTCTAAAAATATTGTTGAAATAAATCTGCGGTGTACAGGCGGGTGGATCAGTAGAGTATCAATAGAGTGCGGTGTACAGGCGGGTGGATCAGTAGAGTATCAATAGAGTGCGGTGTACAGGCGGGTGGATCAGTAGAGTATCAATAGAGTGCGGTGTACAGGCGGGTGGAT